GCCCTTGACCAAATGGGACCCGCCGCCTAACCACCAATGTTAGGAAGACTTTCGACACAAGGCACTTCAAACGCGAATAATTTTTTAGCCCGATTGCCACCACGCTTTCTACTACGTTCCTCCAACTCTGAGCTCTGATACCACTGTAAGGAAAATTATGAGCAAATTGACCGGCCCAAGCCCACACCACCAAACCCAAGTGAGGTTCCAACCCAAAACCAATTGGCAATGGGTAGAGTAGCCCACTTGGGTTATATGGTGGATTTCTTTTCTTCTTCCAACCGATGTGAAACTTCTTGTTTGCTCCCAACAGTGACTATGATCTTCCCGAATGATTCCATTTATATCTACCTGTAAGAAGCTTCATGTGCAAGGCATATTCCTTAGAGTACTGCCATGAACAAGCAAAAATGTTTTGTAGCTTCTCTTATTGGTGATCATCCTAAAATGGGCACTAATCAGTCCTCAAAAATACTCTATTCAACTAAAAGTTCCTTACTAAATCCTTTTTTATACAGGTTGGAACAAGAGATGCAAGGGAATTATTGGTCACAGGCTAATTAAAATAAGCCATTCCACATCCAATCATGGGAATGTTGTTTATTTATAGCATCACTAAAGACATATGCCAACCTCAAGAAATCAAATAATTTAACAAGACAACGAGACAGTTGGAAAAAATGGAAGAAGCTTGTCCAGCTGAGGTGGAGATTGAGCTGTGAGCTGATGTGGCATTTAATTCTTTTTATCTTGTCTAACAGAGACTACATGTCGTCATTCCAAAATTGGTGACAGTTTTGGCTTTTCCCGGCTGATATAGGCATAACTTGGCACAAGAAACCCAGGATCTGAATCCACGTTTTGCACTCAAAGCTTATTTAGGACCTGGTTTGCAGATATATCGGGTTTGAAGTCCACCATAGTTAAAAGTAAGCATTGAGCACAAATCCCAGTGAGGCATGTCCTGGGATCTTTTTTGAGTTAAGGAGCTTCAACAAAGCCCAAAAGAGAGTGTGAAGCATTAAAAAATTATGATTTAATAATTCTGGTTTTTGTAGCCTTCTCTCATTGGAAACACCGATTTGTTTTAGGCTGTTATCTGGTGTCAATATTTTGGTTTCTGGAATATGATTAATTGCTTAAATTCAAATAAATTGTTAATCCCAGATTATTTCATTGCTGACTTGTTCAAATCAATGGTGTTTTCCCTCACCATGCTTTCATTTGATCATAGTTTAAGGTATGTGTGAGAGAGATATCATCTAGTTTTTTATCTTATATGGTTTAACAAGTTGAGAGTTTTCCCAATTGCAAGAGTTGGCAGTTGCACCATCGACAACCACCAACAAAATCTCTTGGATTATCTCATGCACTCAACGGTCACAAGGGGGGAAATGAACAAGTCACCTGTATTACATGGTCAACTATTGCAACCTGAGCAGTCCTTGGATCGAAATATTCACTCTTATCAATCTCATTGAATGATGTGAACAGAACCTGCATACACCAAGACATAAAAATAGCATACTATCAAGACAATTATGTCTAATTCTCCATGTGGCAGCATGGCATTAAGTCCATTGCTTCGGAATAATGTATCTGGATTATTTTGAATTCTGATTCCAAGCAAGAAACTCAACATTATCCGGCATAACACTGCCCTACATTCATTTCAGTTTCTACATAAAACACTACTCTAAAATCCATTTACTGCCACTATCATCGGGCAATAACACTCGTCCAAAGCCCATTTCGTGTCCCACCTCTATCTCCGGGCATTGATGCCATACTACTAAACTAACATAACATTAACTAGTACATAAAATGCACAAACATATTCATATATGCGAGAAAAGTGTGGAGACCTTTGGCGGCGTATTGAATCTCACCAACGGGAGAATTGAGGAGGAACCATTTGGCGATTTTTATTTTCTCCTTGTCAGTGAGCTGTGATTCTTCCTCGCCTGACATTTTTATGATCCCAAATTGGCAACTTCTATTCTAAATTTCCTAACATAATTTCTCGGTGCTTATATAGAAGAGCGTGAGGTTTAGGAGTGGGCGTATGGGGTTGCCGTGGGGCTAGTTTTAAGATTGCATTTGTCAAACATGTCATTTTTCACTTTGCTCCAAATTTCTTGATATTCACCACAATAGTCTTAAAATGCTTAAAAGACAAAATTACCCTTAAAATATTAAAAATTACGAAATTTGGTAATGTTTAAAAGACAATAATACCATTTTTAAGTTATAAAGAATTCCAACTAAATTTTAAAATTAAATCACTTTCTTTATCTGTTTACTCCAACACATGTAAAAATAAATTTATTTTTCATCTGCTTCAAACTTGAAAACAAATAAATTTATCAAACACCCAACAAGAAAATATTATTCATAGCCATCAGTAAAATCGATAATTATATTTACCTATTTTAATTTTTGTTTCGGTAAAATTAGTATAGTATTTTTATCTTTAAATCTTATTTCGACATAAGTATATAAAAATTGTACGGTTTTAAATGGATCTATAATCTTTTTTAACAAAAATGAGAAAAAATTTCATCTGTATGTATAATTTTAGACAAATTTACGATAGTCTGTAAAAAGGTCAACCAGACATTCGGACGGCCCGCCCGTCCGGATCCACACTGCCCAGAAGTCCG